AGACAAACAAGAATTAAAATTGGCCAGTAATATCTATTTCTATTTGTAGATCTATTATGTAAGAGGAAGACAAACAAAGATTAAAATTGTCCAGTAATATCTATATACAGAATGGAAATAATCAGGGAGGAAGGGAGATTGAGGAAAGATTGGTTGAACAGAATTTAAAAATATCGCAAGGAATTTCATAAATTTTGTCTAGTTGAAAAAAGCATTATATATATATAACACTCAGACTTTTAACAATAACCAGTGTAAATTAGAGAAATAATTTTATAGAGTTCAAACTTGAAACTGATGTCATGGACTCACATAGGTTGATTTGAATTTCAAATGATGAAATCGAACTTTCATTAAGGATATATTCGTGACAACAACTTAAGCTAACCAGGTAAGTGATCTTACTATCGACATGGTTATATTTGATGTTGACACGTGCCATGTGGTTCTGCACGTGTCATATATATTGATATGTGTGAATTATTTGTGGATCGATATGCTTATGATATGTTATGTATGTGTTATAATATGTGAATTGTATGATAATAATCACGGTACGATGTGCTCAATGATATGTTTGAGATAGGATACGAGAAGGATGCACAAAACAAAATGTAACAATATGAGTAAGATACGTTCATGAAACATTAAGGTTAGGTTATATACCAAAGTGCTATGGATATGAGAGTTTGATAAAAGAATACAGGTAGGTTATGGGTAGAAAGAGATAGGTTTGTGATTGATTGAAAGAACGATAATGTTAGGGTATGTTCCTATGATGATATAATTATGATACGACATGTGAATGATGTATATATGTGTGTGTGTGTTATCCTATGATATGAAATATGTTATGGTATGAGATATGTGATAAATTGACATGTTTATGATATGATATGATATATTGTGATGCAATATGTTATGATATGATATGTATATGATGAAATGTTATGTTAAAAGCATGAGACGTTATGTTATATCTCCTAAATTGTGTGTGTACAACTTGATATGAATGACATGAAATCACGATAAATGACATGAAATATAACCCCAGTAGAATTATGTATGATATGAGAACTGAAGAATGAGAAATGATATGGTATGAATGATGAACGATATGTGAAATAATAAGAAAAATGATATGATATGTACAAAACGCTAGCGGGGTTGTATTACATGATAATGAAAACGGAAAAATGTTGTGACCTCATGCATTATGTATGCTCATGCATTGGGGGATACCCCTATTCCATCATTGTACATCCACGAGGCAGGCGAAGTATCATTATGTTTTACATAATGTTGCCATGATAGTTACTAATTCTAATGGGTGTCGGCAGCAGTAGAGCTACTAGAGAAGACTCGTCCGACAAGAAAAGGGACCCAGTAGTGTGCGAACTGTCTGGTGAGCCCATACCCGCACGTATGGGCTGTGTGTAGAGTATATGGTACACATCCAAGCTATCCATTAATTACGAGGCTTTAGGACGTAAATGTCAATAGACCCCATAGGGTACAATCATAAATCATAAAATATCACAAGTTCTATGATTATCCATGACAATCAAGTCAAGTTTACGATGAGGGGCTAGTTGGTGAACCCCTACTGATATGAACCAAGAGACATCAATTATACAATATGCTTCAATGAAGATGTGAAGAAAATATTGTTGAAATTATCAAAAGATATTTTAATTCATGCCACATTCAAGGAGAATGAAGTTTCATGTTTTGAATTTTGGGTGGATTACAATTTAGAGTAATTTAGAGTTTTCATTTATTCATTGACTAGAATTAAACGAGGATATATAGCTCGGAGACGTAGAACAAAAATTCGTTTATTTGCATCAAGCTTTCGAGGGGTTCATTCAAGACTTATTCGAACTATTACTCAACAGAAAATAAGAGCTTTGGCTTCAGCTTATCGGGATAGAGGTAGGCAAAAAAGAAATTTTCGACAGTTGTGGATCGCTCGAATAAATGCAGTAATTCGATATAATAAGGTAGACTACAGTTATAGTAGATTCATACACAATCCGTACAAGAGGCAGTTGCTTCTTAATCGTAAAATACTTGCCCAAATCGCTATATTAAATAGGAATTGTCTTTATATGATTTCCAATGAGATCATAAAATAAGAAGATTGGAAAGAATCCAGCGGAATGCTTAAAATGGAGTTCTCTCGAGAATGAACTCCGAGAAGGTTATGTAGAAATTAGTATGATAAAATATGATAAAGTAGTCAAAATGAGCCTTGTATTCAAAACTTTTAATTTACTTTAAGTTACAATTACATAATAGTTAATTAAGACCATTAAGTTTGAATGTTACAACTCTTAGGATGCCTTTAGTAATTTCATTTTGAGGCTATATAAAGCCATGTATGTTGTATTTGTAAGTAGACTTAGAAAATATATAGTAAAAGGAGCATTTGTGCTTTTTTAAGCCAATGGCTAAGTTTATTTGCAATTCTATGTAGTTTAGGTTGCATGTAGAATCATTCAAGCTCGACATGATCAATCTTGCTAGTGGAGTAATCTTGCTAGTGAAGTGATTCGAATCTCAAACAATGTCCTTGCCTTGAGATATTCGATCAACAAGGTAATCCGAATCTTACTCCCCTTGTAGTGGTTTCTTATCTTATTCGTCTCCGTATAACCGATAAATCATGAACATGTGACATAGAGACATAACATAGCGATCTAAACATGGATACCTAGTCATGAATCTCAGTTCATACATAAGATAGTGTGTACGCGTTTCAGTAAACATACATAATCACATTCAACATCTGTCATCTCAACTCATTCTATGCTCAAACATATATAATCGAGTTCCTATAACATGCTTATATCATATTAAAGGCATGCTATCAATTACTGTCATATCACAAACGTGTACCATAATGTTAACATGCTCTTACATACCTCAAACTAACTCATTTCAAGCTCAAATTTCTGAGACGTGCTTCTCATATCATACTTTCATGCATACTACTATGAGCATAGCTAAATTCAATGTTCGGACGTGCCACTTACTTGAAAAGGGTTACACTTTTTGTTCGAATTTAGTCACTATAACGATGGTTCCAAAATTTGCCAAAAACTCTCAAATAATTCCTACATTTGTGCAAAATGAGGAATACCATGAACATAGTGCCAAAATCAGAGTTAAAATGGGTGAATTAATCAAAAGGGGCCAAATCGGCCCAATTAAGTGGGGTCGGGTCGGGTCGGGATAGACCGCTACAAAAGTTGGGCCGGACCTCTCCCCGGTTGCGCGCCCGTGGTGGGCCAGGCGGGGTGCGCGCACCTATGTAGGCCGCACGCAAACCTGCATTACACACCCAGACCCACGCATGCTTTCTTCTTTTTTTTATTTGGTTTTTCAAACTTTTTTAAAATTTTGCTATCAATTGGTTTCTTCATTAAAGTTTAAAAGTTTCACTTATCCAACAAAATTAACTTCATTTAGTTTCTTCAACGGTGAAAAAAACACATTTAAAGTAGGGGAGATTTCTTAAATCTTACCGTCTTTACCTTAAACAAAATTTCAATTTCTAAATGTCTTCTCTCCTAATTCCTTCGGAAGATTTGTTTAAAATGATAACACCTTAGGTGAGATTGATGCCCCATATATATTTTTCGTCTTGGCTTTGCAGCTTCGTCGGACCTTAGGTGAGGTTTGTCTTCGCCACTCGAACATCGCTTGTGCGGAATCCAAGCTTCTTCGACCACACACACAGCATGTGCGTGCATGTTCAATTGTTTGTGATACAACCGACTTGTCTCTACACTAGGCCAAGTCCTTTTGCTCGACCTTGTCTCTGCTCGGGTCAAGGTCTCTCAGTGCACCATCGCGTCTCATCTTGCCATCTCGATCTCCATTGACATGGCTCATATGTCTTGACGCCATCCCGAGTCTTGGGGTGTTGTCGGCCATCACAACTCACTCAGTCATGCCATCGAGAACGGGCCCGCGTGTCGCTCATCTCATCAAGACTTCCAGAACATCCATCCATCCGCGTTCTATTGAGGCATTGGCCCTCCTATGCCCATGTCATGTCATTTACAAATACCGTGTCAGATAGCGAGTGTATGTAGCAACGTCCAACACGCAGGCTGATAATATGTATGAAAATAGGATACGAGAAGCATGTCATTGAAACTTGAGCATGAAATGAGTTGGTTTGATGTATGTAACAGTACGTTAGATGTTAAGATGCACGTTTATCGATGAATAAACTATTGAGCTATGATGTGATCGAAATTGGGAGCATTTCTTTATTACATGTTATAGGAAAGTGATTATACAAGTTTGAGTATAGAACGAGCTGAGATGGCACAGGTCGAATGTCATTATGCATGTTTACTAAAACACGTACGCAAGAGTTAAAGAAATGAATTTACGACTAGGTATCCATGTTTAGATTGCTATGCTATGTCACTATTTCATATGTGACTTATGTCAGGAGCCCCTAATCGTGAACCTGGCTCGATTGTCAGGAGTCCAGATAACCATAGAACTGACTTGTGATATTTATGATTTATGATTGTACCTTGTGGGGACTACCATGAAGTTTGCCAGGTAGCTTTCTGCAGTGAGCTTGTCACGAGCGGCAAGAGTCCACGATGTACCTTATGAGTTGGTTATGAATATCGTTCATGCATGTAATTTATGTGGTTATACGGGGACGGTAGGGGTTCGCCTTAAATTATTCTTATGACACAATCCTATACATCATACCCAGGTAACATGCGTGTATTAGCCTTCACACAAATTCAACTAAGGGAATTTTCTCTCTTTTTGATCCGAATATCTCCCGATTCAACTACATCAAACTTAGGAAGAGATTCAAATAATGTAAATACATTAGGTGTTACATTTTGAATAGAGAGTGAATGTTGTGTTCATAAGCTATCTTTATCTTTCATAAATGCTAATATAAAATAATTATTAATCCCAAATTAGTTGAGATGCGTTTAATATTATTATTCATGAATCCAAGGGTGCCTGCCATATCTGGTGGTGGTAGTGGTGGACTTCCACCCTCTCTACAAGCGCGGGTGAACACGAAACCAAAAGGCCATCGACTTTTTGAGTTCCTTTTCACTTTTCCACTGAATTTCGAGGAGATCATCCACATTCCTCACCTTTAATGGTTACAATACTTAATTAGGGAAGATCCTGACAACAAAATGCTAACCATCTCATCCTTCTCATCTTGATCCCTTCTTCTCTTTCTTCACGCCCCGATCCACTTCGCGAAAATCCATGGCCGATTCCCGCAAGAAGACTATCATCGACACCGACCCTGGCATCGGTAATATTTTCACTACTTTTTTCTGATTGAGCGGGGATTTTTTTTTTATTTTTTATTTCCTTCTTTTCTTGACTTGGGAATCATCGATTATGTTTAACAGACACCTAAATTGCTCCATCTCTATTCATTTCGATCCTTATTGAATCGACGTTTCAAGTCGATCTGGTTGGGGCAGAGTATTTTACTGATGAAGTTAGTCATATATTTGTAGATGATGCTATGGCCATTTTTCTGGCTTTACAATCCCCAGAGTTGGATGTGCTTGGACTAACCACTATTTTTGGGAATGTTTATACTACTCTTTCCACAAGAAATGCCTTGCATCTGGTGAGTCACTTATGAATAGATAAGAATCATACCTTTGCTTAATATTGTTTATCTCTTGTGTTTCTTTCTCTTACTTTTTTGGTTCCCCTTTGCTTATCTCATCTTAATTTTTGTTGGTTCATCAGTTGGAGATTGCTGGTAGGGCTGACATCCCAGTGGCCGAAGGATCGCATGTCACAATAACTGTAAACTCATTATCTTACATCCACTGCTTCTCATATCATATGCTCTACTTGTTTAGTGGAGTTTTGAATTTGATTGTTTGAATACGACTTTCTTCTGTCAAGGTGCTTTGTCTAACATCTACTGATTCTCCACTCTTTTGGTTCAACACTAAAAGCTTCCAAGAAAACTCTGTGGCGTCCAAATAGTTAAGGAATGTTGTTTTCAAAATTTGTCTACTTTGATGTGAATGTGGAAATACCGAATTCATGGACATATTCATGGGGGTGAGGAATACGGGAGGATTTTAACCTTCAGAAATTAGATAGTTTCATTGACATTTTGAGATAAATGTTGGCTCTTCGTACCCTTTGTAGGTGGAAATTTTATGTATTTAATCTGTAAAAGCCTTTGGAATCCATATTTATGGTTACAATATTATTGTATTATTTTCAACATGATATTTGCCTCATTAGTTTAGCTAATGCAACACCTAATTATGATTTTCTTTCTCGTATATGCGAGATGTCTATACAAAAATGTAACTCATTGACGTCTGAATGTTTTCTCTTTTGTCCTTTTTGTTTGTAATGTTTGTTAACTTGAAATGTTATTCGTATGAAGAAAGGTACAAAACTTCGTGTTGCTGATTTTGTCCATGGGGCCGATGGACTTGGCAACCAAAATTTTCCTCCTCCAAATGGGAAGCCGATAGACCAGTCGGCAGCTGCTTTTCTTGTTGAACAGGCAAATCTTTACCCTGGAGAAGTAACGGTTGTGGCTCTAGGACCACTAACAAATATTGCACTGGTCTGATTCTAAATTCCTAGTAAAAATGTATTTTTCACATTACTTCACTACAATTTACCCACATAAGGTTGATATAGGCTTTGCAATTGGATCCCGGATTTCCAAAGAAAATTGGGAAGATTATTATTCTTGGTGGTGCATTTTTCGTAAATGGAAATGTAAATCCTGCAGCAGAAGCCAATGTAAGTTGCTTCACTCTTTTAATGCGACAACAACTCTTGTGAGTTCCTTGCCTGCGTCCCCTGTCACCATTTTTAAACTTGAAACTGCACTTCTCTATCTTGTGTATCCTACTTTTATGTATCAAAGAGGTTTTGTGGATTTGAATCTACCGCTTTAAAACAGAGGACTTTATAATGCCAGGAAACAAAATTCCTTTTTGCTTTCTTACATTTAAATCTAACAAAATATCTGAAGTCCTTGGTAGAAAGCTAAAGAGAAGTCTTAAGATGGACTTTTTTTCCCCCCTAATAATCATGGTTCCATCTGAAACCAAATTGCCCCTATCCTTAAACAGTCTATCCATCCTCCATAATCACACCTAAACTTTATTAGTGTTTTGTATTTATTACAGAAACAATGAATTGTAGGGAAGGGAAAGAGGTCATGAAAGTTAAAATGGAAGATTTGGAGAAAAATAGATTTTGGGAACAGGTAGATGAAAACAGCAAAGAGAAGAGACTTTAAAGTAATTGAGATTTCACCAAATAGAGTTGTCTGTTTCTGAATCTCAAGAGAATTATTCCAAATTGTGGAGAATACTTACTTGTTAAGGGAAAATCTTAGAGGTGAAGAGGGTGGGGGGTTTTGTGAATTATTGAAGCAGCTTAAAGGAACTTCAATAACTGAAAGTGGGTTGAATTTGGATATGGCCGAAATTTTAGTTATGCTTGGTGCAAGGAAGTAGCAGGTACATGCAAAAAAGAGCTTTTTGTCTGCCTTTTGGATATTTATGTCTCAAAAAGGTCAATATTATGGTCTGATTGGCCTATATAGAGGGATTCGATTTGGCTGAAAGGCTTCCAACAAGAAGACCTTAGTCTCTATTTTTAAGGACAAGAAAATATTAACCATTTACTTTTTCATTGATTTTCAAGCAGGAAAATGTGGGAGTTTCTATTTCAAGGCCTCCAGGTTTCTTGGACTCTCAACTTCCTGAAAAAGAAAAAGAAAAAGAAAAAAAAAAAAACCAACATTATTATGTGCTTTGTGGTGGGGGATCGAATAAGAAAGCTGAAATCCTTTGGATCAACTTGGCCAATATTCATTGGGTGTTTTTGGAAAAAAGAAACCAGAGGATCTTTGATGTAAATCGAGTTTTGTGGTAAGAACTATTTGAAATGATTAAACATGACCCAGCTTCTTGGTGTGCCCTCTTTTGGTGTTAATCTATGTATATCTATTTTTTTTCAATGCTGGTCTATGAAATACTTACTGATCTGTTGCTAGTCCATTAGTATCATGATTAGTTTCATAGAAAGTTACATGAACAAGGGATTTTGAGTTAATATATATTTGAGTTTGGAGAAATAGATATTTGGGGATCCTGAAGCTGCAGATATGGTATTCACAAGTGGAGCAGACGTGTTAGTTGTGGGGCTAAATGTCACACATCAAGTTGTCATGACAGGTAATCTTATTTCATGTTATATTCTGATGAGGTTAGATGTGTTTATAAGTCAATATAATCAATGCTTATTTCCCCTTGAATTTGGGTATGCTGTGTTTCACAAAACAATTTAAGAGGCGGATCGTGACAAATTGGGAAGATCAGATGGGAAATTTGCCAAGTATCTCTGCAAAATTTTAGATATTTATTTCTCCTACCACAGGTATGCATATGAAACAAAAGGTGAGGCTACTGAATAAAGTAGGGTCCGTCCACAATAAGTCATCAGATTCATCTGCACATTGTTTGACTTGTTTGCTGCTGCTGCTAATATGCGTGCAGGAGTTTACCTCCATGATCCAGCAACTGTGCTAGCGGCTGTCGATCCCTCACTTTTCACGTACACGGAGGGCGTAGTTCGAGTCCAGACAACGGGCATCACAAGAGGCCTCACAATTTTGTACAACAATAAGAAAAGGTAAATGTATTTGGGTTACCTATTTCCCCAGCTTACCAGTATGTTTTACAACAATCATATTAACATATGGAACCGACCAGGTTTGGTGAAGTGAGTGAATGGTGTGATAAACCCACCGTGAAGGTGGCGGTCACAGTGGATGCCCCGGCCGTTGCGAAATTGGTGATGGACCGACTTATCGACTCGTAGAGTATATATAAAAGTTGCAATAAGGAATTCCTTCCATACGGAGGAATGGAATGTTTTATATCCCAGGTCTATATTTATTGAATCCTCAAAGTCATTCTGAAAAGGATCTCACTCAATAATATTCATCCTCATCTTGGTGTTGTTTTTCTTCTGTCATGAATGATTTCGCTTGTGATAATGAGAATGAGTTTAGGATCATTTTGTTTGCCGAGAGTAATATCTCTTGGAAGGCAGTCAGAATTGAATTCTTGGCTTAATAGGTAATACACTCCAACTCTAAGTAGAACACAGCCTTTTCCTTAGAGGAACACGTACACATCAAAGTATGCACATGCGCATAAGCTAAGTATGAGTGTTTCAAAACAAAATGGTGTATGCATTTCCAAGAAATGAGTTTAAGATGGAAAAAACTTTGGCCCTCCCTATTCTTCTAGTCGGGATGAGCAAAGTTGAACGAAAACTGGAAGCCTCTTTTTGGCTCTCTCAGTGGTGGAACCATAAAGAACCTCAAGGATGTGTTGGTCTACATCTCCCCTTGTGGACTTCGTTTCGGGGACAACAACTTCGATGCCATCATCGTCAGGTGACCAATCAGTGTTCAGGTTGTGTATTGAATTTATTGAATGACCTCTTCTGTTAAGTTCAGTTTTGAAGGTGGCATAGAGTGAGTTGGATTGCGTTGTTGCAGCTATTCCTGTTAGTGAATGATTGTTGCGGGACTTGAGACCATGCGTCAAATATGGTTCACCAAACTGTAGTAGCAAAGAAATATGCAAAATCTAACTTTTTTATTCCAACAAATTTTGCACTATATTTAATCATCACATGTCGATGGTACCTTAGGTTTGGTTTTAACAGGTAAATGAACTGGCCGAAGCTCCTCCTTTCCATGTGCAAACTGCATATAGCACATACAATTTACAAAACCCAACTCCATTTAATACAGATCAATTTTTTCCCCAAAAATTTAACGCGTCTGATTGAGAAAATTGTTTGAAAAAAAGTATGCCTACTCAGCATATAAATTGAAGCTATTCAGATCGTATCATTGCAGTGGGGACAAGATAACTAACCTGGCATTTGTGGCCGAAGCGGCAGCTTCCAGAATCCTCCCAGGAGCGGCAAATGTCCGTTCTGTATTGATTTTTGCTTAACGATGAGCCGCCGCCGCTTCCGGAATCTAAGGCAGACTTCAGTGTCTTCGCTCCTCCATGGACCGAACTGATCAAAATTTCATCCATTACTATCACTTCCTCATGGACCTTCAATGGAGTCCCATAAATTTGTGGAGACCTTACAGGTGTCGTTTCCAAATTCTCTAGAGCCGAAAGTGGTGACAAAGACGATCCTCCTCTCCGAGAACCGAAGCTACTGCTTCCGGAAGTGCTGCTGGCGAAGTGGTTGATAATAGAGGACCGGTAGCTGGCATTGATGACGTCCGCAACCGGAGTAGAACATGTGTCGCCGGCGGATGGTAATTTTCCTACCACGGGAGATCGAGAGCGGAAGTAACTTACGATCGGTGTTGAACGGTCATGCTTCTCGGCGTAACGATCAAGAATTGTTGGAATTTTGGAGTTTGTTTCTTGGTGATAGTGTCCGGTCCCGCCGATTACGAGGTGATTGTCCATCTGAATTTTGATCGGCCGAACCGTAGGGTTCAGGCCTTTGATGATTGACGGTTTGGAGCTCCTCTTGCCCTGGCGATCTTCCATGAGTCAGGAAAAGAACCTGAAATTTCTGATATCAAAGGCAATTTTATGCACGGAGAAAAGAAGATCTATCAGCATTTTGAAGTGTTCATTGGCGACGTAGAATTGATGTCCAGGCTCATGTCCCTAATATTTCGAAACAGAGATTTGTTCAATCCTGATGCAGTACTCTCCAAGGGAATCGGTGAATTAAACTTACAGAAACGGCGGATGATGAATACGAACAAAAGATTCAGATGCTAAAGCAGAGAACAGAGAAGATCTAACAGTCATTTGCAGAGCAAATAATTCGTTCAAAATGATAGGATCAAACATGTTAGGGCTCCATTCAAAACGCAAATTAAGATGCACACAACATTGTGAAAAAGACGTCAGTTAAAACGCAAGTGCAGATCGGTGCGGAGTCCAAAATGGAAAGCGTGAAGGCTCAACTTCAATTCGAAGTCACACCGACAGAATACAAAATATCCTGAAGATCGATTTGAAATTGTTCGAGATCGAACACAACGCAGCCGGAAGACTGTGGTTTGAGTGCAAGGAAATGAGTAGAAGACGTACCTGGAAAATCAAAATTCGGAGTTGGAATGATTCAGAGATTAGAATCCGCAGTTGAGAGGGTTGGATTGTGAGAGAGGAATTAGCGTTAACATTTCGTGTTTGGCGTCGTGTAGGGCAAGAGGACGGAAAATCACGATGGATGCGGAGCTTAAGAGTGGAGTAGGAGCAACATTAGCAAGAAGCAGAATTCAAAACAACATTGCACTGCAAATAAATTTAAAAAATGTGTATATATACCCAACGCTACAAGGACTATGGACTTGCCACGTGGATGCATGTTTTTCTCTTCCCATTTTCAGTTTAATACACACATATATATATATATATATATATATTTATATATGAAATGGTTAATTATTTTAAAAATTAATAAAAACTTTAATCCAATTTTTTTAAAAATTATAGAAAATTATACTAATAATAACAATACTAGAGACTACAAGTACATTGCGTTCTTAATATTCTTATACCGATCCTATATATATATATACCATTCTTTATTAGAAAATGGTTAAGACAAACTAATTAGTGACCGTAAAACAAAGGTTAACCACTCCAATGACATAAAGTTAATTAACTAAACTCTTTAATTAATTAATTTTCATTCATTAATGATAGGTCACTCCATTATAGATTTATAGTGGAACTCCTATGCATTGCAGGATAAGTTGTGTCTTAGCTGGGTCACAAGTTCATTTACTCTTATAATTACATCTTTCACCTTGAGTATTACTCATTTTCTAATAAATAATTTATTTATGATCCAATTATAAACTATGCATTTGGACAAGTTAGAGGATGACCCCATTGTTCAAAGTAAAAAGAATCAGCACTTAAAGTAATTATTTATCTACTTACCCTCCACGAGAATGAGTGACATATCGCTAAGTTCCTAGGAGAAAGTTAAGTCTGGCTAGAGCGACATATCGCTCCTAACAATAATCCCCTAAGCTTATCATAGAAATGGGCCCTAGCAATTAATAGAGTATGCATGCAACCGTCTTCTAACATCATAATCTATAATTCATGCAAACTAGGCGTACCGGCTCAACGGGGCGATGACCTCCATCAAGTACCCAGAACACGAAGTTTGCACTCAATGGGGCGAATTCATTAATCAAGCACCCGGAACGCGGAATACACAATTCCGACATAAATTAAACGCATGCATACATACGGCGGAAACTTAAAGCATACAAGCAACATTCGGATAATTCACCCAATACACTCATAGCAATCAAACTGGCTAATATTTTACCTCGAGAGCTAATCTAGAGCAAAATTACTAGCATGCATGCAATCCAAGCGAATCCTACAAGTATTTCTTCCTAAATACCGGGTGGTGACTTACCTAGTTGACGTGTGCCCTTTTGCTAGCGTTTCTTTAGATTAGGTCCCTATTCACGTAAAAACAGTATTAGAATTGGAACCGTGACAAAAATCGGGCAAACAGAGGGCAAACGGGCCAAAACGGCCGTTTCACGGGCTTTCACGCGTCGGCAGTGCGCTGGCCACGCACGTGGAAGTGTGCCAGTCACGGGACGCACGCTCGCCAACTCCTGGGCAGTCGCGGGTCGGTCGGTCCGGTCTGGCTCAGCTCGGTTCCCATTGCAGTTCGACTCGGGTTGTTTTTTTCTTTTTTTTGCAGGCGACACTGGTCGTCGCCTCGCTGGAGCTGCATTGCTCTAGCCGATGGTCGACGCGTGTCCGACGCCTGTCACGTCGGCCTCTGCCGCTCGCCGGCCGAGCTCTTTTCTTTTTTTTTTCTTTTTTTCTTCTCTGTCCTCTGAAATCCGTAACACAGTTCTCTTTTCCGATTTTCATATATTTCGATTCGTTGACCGGATCGATATGATTTCTTCGACAAAGTTCTAGATCGTGTTACGGGCTACGTCCTAGTATTTTTTTTTTTTTTTTTTATAATTTTTGCTTGACTACTAGATGAGTTAATAGCGTCGGAAGTTCTGATAAGATATGTAACCACTACAAGGGGAGTAAGATTCGGATTACCTTGTTGATCGAATATCTCAAGGCAAGAACATTGTTTGAGATTCGAATCACTCCACAAGCAAGATCGATCAGTCTAGTTTGAATGATTCTTGTTGATCAAATATCTCAAGGCAAGAACACTTGCTTGAGATTCGAATCACTCTACAAGCAAGATTGATCATGTCGAGCTTGAATGATTCTACATGCAACCTAAACTACATAGAATTGCAAAGAAACTTAGCCATTGGCTAAAGAAGAGCACAAATGCTTCTTTTACTATATTTTTCAAGTCTCTTACACATACAACATACATGGCTTTATATAGCCTCAAAATGAAACTACTAAAGTCATTCCAAGAGTTGTAACATTCATACTTAATGGCCATAATTAACCATTATGTAATTGTAACCTATAGTAAATAAAGTCTTAAAATACATAAATGAAATACAATAACTCTAAATTGTAACCCACCCAAAATTTATAACAATCAAACTTCATTCTTCTTCAATGTGGCATGAATTGAAACATCTTTTGATAATTTTGACAACCTTTTCTTCACATCTTCATTGAAGTATATTGTATGATTGATGTCTTTTGGTTCATATCATTCTCCACTTCTTCAAGAGGATTCGTCCTCGAATCTATTTGTGAAACTTTGCTGCAAAAAATAAGTTATGGAAATACAAAGGACCTCACAACACTCTCTCACGTGTATACACTCAAGGAATTTTAGGCCACTCTTTTTAAACTCAGTTACACAAATGAAGCTCTCATTCTCACCTCTCAAAATTTGAAATAGAGCAAAGATTGAATTTTGAATTCTGGGTCGATTAAAAACTAAAAAGATAAAAATAAATAAAAATCAAATTGAGAAAAAAAAAAATGCAAAGGAAACATATATCCGATCTTGAGCCTGAAGCTCTGATACCAAATGATAAGATAAGGAACCACTACAAGGGGAGTAAGATTCGGATTACCTTGTTGATCGAATATCTCAAGGCAAGAACATTGTTTGAGATTCGAATCACTCCACAAGCAAGATCGATCATGTCTAGCTTGAATGATTCTTGTTGATCAAATATCTCAAGGCAAGAACACTTGCTTGAGATTCGAATCACTCTACAAGCAAGATTGATCATGTCGAGCTTGAATGATTCTACATGCAACCTAAACTACATAGAATTGCAAAGAAACTTAGCCATGGGCTAAAGAAGAGCACAAATGCTTCTTTTACTATATTTTTTAAGTCCCTTACGAAAACAACATATATGGCTTTATATAGCCTCAAAATGAAACCACTAAAGACATTCCAAGAGTTTAACATTCATTCTTAATAGCCTTAATTAACCATTATGTAATTGTAACCTAGAGTAAATTAAAAGTCTTAAAATACATTAATGAAATACAATAACTCTAAATTACTCTACAATTGTAATCCACCCTAAATTCAAAACATGAAACTTCATTCTTCTTCAATGTGCCATGAATTGAAATATCTTTTGATAATTTCAACAATATTTTCTTCTCATCTTCATTGAAACATATTGTATGATTGATGTCTCTTGGTTCATATCAAGTTCGCTTACCGTTCTCGGACGATTCTCGAATTTCTGCCTTCGGATCGAGGTTTCAGCCAAACTTCTTCAAAGATCCTATAGAGAGTTGTTCCTAGATGAATATATCAAGATTTCAGATCTTGATTCACAAAGGAAAACCGTAGATCTGAGAAAACGTTCAAGATCTTACCTCGCGGGTTTTTCCGATTTCTTGAGGGGAAATGGGACTTCAGCCATCCACATTCTCTTTTCCCTTCCAAGAAAGGCTCCTTGCATCGTGATCTTGACCGGAGTAGACTCCGATGGTTCGTTTTCGGTGAGTCTTCCGGCCGTTCATTCTTCCTCCTCTCTCTAGGTTCTCTCTAACCCCTTTCTCTCACTATTTTTCTTTTGCACGATTCTTGATAGGGTTTCATTTGGACCCCTATTTGCCCCTCTCTCTACTTTTCCTATTTTTTTCTTTTTCTATTTCTATTTCTCTTTCTTCGGGTATTACACTTTACAACTCTCTATTTTGTCAAGTTCATAACACGATAGGCATATTATTTTGTCATTCACACTCTACGGACAAGAGTTCATAACTCACTAAGTTTAAAATTGAGTCTCATCATCTTGTGATATATTAATCTTCTCATCCTCTCGTGATAACTCACAAAAGTCACTCACACTCTTTGTGGGTTTCCTTGACGGCGACAGTGGAGGAAGCGGTGGTGCTCGAATCATAGCCCATTTACCATAGGTGAACAATAACACAATTGCTGCCAATAATAACCCCACCGACGACAATAACTGTAAGTTTCAAAGACTTGGCAAATGCACCAGAATGATCTATCTTTATTCATATGTTCCATTAGATCATTCTTCATATGTTCCATTGCCTTTTTATAGGAAATCTTTATTCATAGGTTCCATTGCCTTTTTATAGGAAATACATAAAACTGTAGAAAAAGGGAAATACAAGACACGACTCAACTAGCTCCACTAATAACAAGAAAATAACTAACAGAAATTGACCTGTTATAAACCTAGAGAATAAGTCTTTATTGAAATAATCTAAAACTAACTCAACACTTCCTCCCATGAACTGAACTCGATCAAGAGTTTAGTTCACAACACTCATCCCAAACGCTTCTCTGATCCTTTGAAATGATACCATCTTCAAAGGCTTTGTCATTATGTCGGCTAGCTGCTCCTCAGTGCTGCAATAGACCAATTTAACTACACCTTCCTTTGTCAGTTCCCTGAGAAAATGGTTATCGAACCCTCATGTGCTTTGACTTTTCGTGCATGACTGCATTTTTTGACAACTTGATAGTGGACGTGTTGTCACAAAACAGAACCATCTCCTCATCTTGTTCATGCCCGATTTCTTTCAATATCCTTTTCATCCAAATGGCTTGACAGGCACATGTAGCTACTGCTACATACTCAGCTTCAATAGTTGACAAAGTGACGATTGGTTGCTTTCTTAAGGACCATGCCACAGCTCCTCCACTCATTAAGAAAACATAGCCTGAAGTGCTCTTACTGTCATCCATATCTCCCGCATAGTTATTGTCGGTGTAGCCTAAGAGTTCACTCTTCCCTTCACGTTGATACCATATCCCCAATTCCAGAGTTCCCTTCAAGTACCTCATGATTCTTTTTGTAGTAGCAAAGTGCAACTCAGTAGGATTTTCCATAAAATGACTAATAAGACTTACCACAAACATCAATCAGGTCCTGTGGCTATGAGATACAGTAAGCTGCCCACCATTTGTTTATATAGCGTTGAATCGACCTTCACACCAGCTTCATCTCGGCCAACTGGCCGTCTAAGGACTATTAGATTGCAAACAAAGTTGTAATTTTGCATCCCAAATCTCTCGATCAACTCAGTAACATATTTTCTTTGGCATATAAATGCCATCAACCTTCTGCATCACTTCAATGTCAAGAAAATATCTTATCTTCTCCAAATCAGTCATGTCGAATTCATCCATCATGGAGCACTTAAACTCATTCAACAACTCCTCATCATTACTCAATAGATCATCAACATAAATGCTCACAATTAGAATTTTACCTCCCTTTTGTTTGATGAATAATGTTTGTTCACTAGAGCTGCTTACAAAACCTTTCTTGACGATATAAGCCTCAATGCGACTGAACCAAGCTCTAGGCGCTTGTTTTAGTTCGTAAAGAGCCTTATGCAGCTTATAAACCATGTCCTTCTTCCCTGCTACTTCATAACCTTGTGGTTGTTCAACAAATACATCTTCCTTCAGCTCACCATGTAGAAAAGCATATTTGACATCGAGCTGATAGATTCCCCATCCTTTTTGTACTGCTACAACAATGATCATCCTCACTGTATCCATTCGAGCCACTGGTGCGAATACCTCTGTGTAATCTACTCCGTACTCTTGTGCATACCCTTTTACAACAAGCCGAACTTTAAGCTTGTCTACCTCTCCAAGTTCATTTAATTTGGTCTTGTAAATCCACTTAACCCCAATAGCCTTGGCTCCAACGGGAAGTGTAGTAAACAACCACGTGTGGTTTCGTTCGATGGACTGTATCTCAGCATCCATCGCTTGTTTCCATTTCTAATGTCCTGCGGCTTCTTGAAAACTGGTCGGATCTGATATGGCCATGAAAGCTAGAGTTTCAATCTCGACTCTAGCCATGTTTGCTTCTTCATTTGTATCTGATAACCCTTCTCTTGGGATATGATCTGCCGACCAGATTTGTGGTTTTCTCACCCGGCCCATTATTGCTATTGTTTCTCCAGTTGGTGGATCGTTTGGTAAAGGAATGTCATCAGTGTATTCTTCTACATCCTCAACATTTTCATAATCATTTTCTCACTCAAGTTCAATGCTTTCTTCACCAAAATAACCAACATCTTCCCAATTCCACTTCTTATCTTCCTCAAATATCGCATCTCGGCTAATGTGAACCTTTTTCTCCACTGGATCGAACATCTTAAAGGCCTTGGATTCATTGGTGAAACCTAACAGAACACACTTCACGCTTTTGTCATTGAGCATGCTTCTTTTAATATCAGGGATATGAACATAACTGATACATCCAAAAATCCTAAAGTTTTCGACTGATGGCTTTCTTTCACTCCATGCCTCTTCCGGAGTCATATCTTTTACAATGAGGGTAGAAGATCTGTTAAGAATGTGACTCACCCATTGCACAACATCTGGCCAGAAAGCTTTTGGTACCTTCTTCTCTAATAATGCTGCTCTCACCATGTTCATGAGTGTACGATTTTTGTGTTCAGCAACGCCATTTTGTTGAGACGTGAAGGCAGTGGTTTGCTGTCTTTTGAATCCATGCGCTTTACAGAATTCTTTGAATGCAATTGAGTTGTATTCTCCTCCTCTATCTGTGCTTAGACATTTGATGAATAATCCAGTTTGCTTCTCTACAAATGCTTTGAATGCCTTGAACTGATGAAATGCTTTTGATTTTCTGGCACAAAATATATCCATGTTTTTCTCGAGAAATCATCAATAAAACTTATAAAGTACCTTATTTGACTATTTGGTGGTGGATTGATCGAACCACAGAGATCAGAGTGGATAAGCTGCAATCTTTTAGTGGCTCTCCACTTTCTCTACTTCGAAAATGGAACACGGTGGTGTTTCCCTTTGACACACGCCTCACAGGTGGTTTTCACATCTTCAATTTCAGGTAAACCCACAACAACCATCTCTTTATTGCATAATGTGTGAAGTCCCTTGTAGTTGAGATGCCCATATCGATGAGGTCACTGCTCTGCCTTGTCTGAGATATCAACCTGCAGACATCTCTCCTCCTTTGTTTTGTCATTTGATTCACCCAGCACGATAAACATCCTATTAGCAATCCTAACAGATTCTCCTATTTTTTCTCTTGAGGGATGAAAGATGCTGCATGTGTTTCAATCTCCTCCTTTGAATAGCACGTCTAAACCCCTTTCTTGAAGTTGTCCAACACTAAGCAAGTTGTTCTTCAATTCCGAAATATAATACACATCTTTGATCACATAGCTTATTCCCTTCAGCATTATTTTCACTACTCCTTTCCCACCAACCATCAATTTGTGATTGTTCTCAAGCTTGACATTATGTGTGAAGCTAGTGTCCAAGCTTGAAAACATCTCTTTCTTCACACATATGGTTTGAACACCTAGAATCCACGAACCACACATCTCTTCTTTTAGTGCCTTGAAGCTCCACATACGTCATGAGAAGAACTTCATCCTTTTCTTCGATCTCTGCAAAATGTTCTCCATTGTTCCTATTTGGACATTCATATTGGAAATGTCCAAGTTGGTGGTAGTTGTAACACTTGATTGTTGCTTTGTTGAATGAGCGTCCTCTGCCCCTGCCTCAACCTCGGTATGATCCTCTACCTCTGCCTCTAACATTGAGACTGCCTCTAATATTGAGAGTTTGATCACCTTCTTCATGACTAATCTTCGTAAATTTCTTTTCATGTACAGACAGAGAGCTTTGTAGTTCGTCAATCATCATCTTTCTTGTGCCTTTTGACTCCTCGATGGACACCACCACATATGTGAATTTGTCAGTTAGAGTTCGAAGTATTTTCTCAACAATCTTCGAATCTGACATGTCTTCACCATTGCTTCTCATCTTGTTGGAGATAGCCATTACTCTTCCAAAATAATCATCGATGTTTTCTTCATTCATCATTTCAAGAACCTCAAAATCTCTCTTAAGGTTTGGAGAAGAGACCGCTTCACCCTTTCGTTGCCTCCAAACTTTTTCTTCATCGAATCCCAAATGATCTTGGATGTTTTGCGATTCAAAATCTATTCAAACACAACCAGATCAATTGCCTGGAACAGGTAGTGCTTCACTTGATGGTCCTTCATCTTGAGCTCCTCAAGATTTCTTTTCTGCGCTGCAATCACTTCGATTCCCTCTGCCAGTTCAGTGTAACCCTCTTCCACTAGACTTCACAAACCCTTGGCATGCAAGAGGTTTTTCATAAGTTCACTCCAATGGTCATAGCGACCATCAAAATGTGGAATCTTGGTGAGTATTTTGTTGTCGCTCATTTCTCTCTTGGATCACTTTGTTTTGCTTTGGCTCTTATACCAAATGATAACTGTAAGTTAGACTTGACAAATGCACTGGAATGATCCATCTTTATTCGTGGGTTTCAATGCCTTTTTATAGGAAATACATAAAACTACCAAAAAACATAAATACAGACTCAACTAGCTCCACTAACTTGTTCTAAACCTAGAGAATAGGTCTTTATTGAAATAATCTAAAACTGACTCAACAACGGCGCAGTGTGGAAACTATGTCGTTTGACGCACTCACTTCGTCGTGCCTTACGAACATGGACTGCAGGAAGGGGGTTTTGGGTCTGACTACCCGAGGGTTTCGAGCACAATGTTGGGAGGAGCAGAGACGGAGAGTAGGAGAGTAGATCTAGAAGTCACAACATGGATGACGGCTCCAACAACGACCAAAACGACGCCGACAAACCTCCGATGAAGAAGAAGGGAAGGAGGAGAAGAAGGGGCGGAGAAGGAAATTTCTCGACAAAACCAAAGAGAAAAAAAAAAACCAATGGAGAAGAAGAGGAAAGAGAAGAAAAAAAATAAAATAATATATATATATAAATGCACAAGGGTCACATGAATGGTAAGCTGACTCAGCGTTGACCAGTCGAAGGTCAATTTTTTTTTACGTTTTCCTCT